CGTTAATTTCCTATCACCTTGTTTTGAAATTCTGTATTGTTTATATTGTTCTCTTAAAAAAAAGGGACAGAAAGAAAGCTACTATTGATGCTTATTACTTGCTGGTTCTTTGCTACTTCACTGCTTTGATGCCTTCTGCCCACTATGTACTGTTTCTCCTCTGCATTGCCCCTCTGCCGTGCTGCCCTGCCTTGGAACCAGGTGACTATGGACTGAAACCTCTATAAACTGTGAGCCAAGTAAATCTTTCCTCCTTTAACTTTGTGTGTGGGATATTTTGTCTCAGCAATGAGAAAAAGTAACTAAGACAAGGTCTTTGTAGATAAGTACTACACTTCCATCACTGCATTCTAAGATCACATTTGATCTTGTGGCAGCCACATCATACTATTAACTGGAAGTTAAACTTTTTGCCAACTAAAACCACTAATTATCTTTCACACTTCTGCCCTTGTCCTCATTTCTCAAAGTAAGTTTATAACTTTTTTGGAGGGTAGGTGGGATGATGTAGATTAAGACAGAACTGTAATTTAATGTTATATTTCCCCTACTTGAAATATAGTGGCTTATTATCCACTAATAAAGAGACTAGGCTCTAGTGTCACTTTAATTTTAGACATCATTTTAAGAAATGAAAATTTTACTTACCAAAACCTCAGCGTTTCTCTTATTCTAAACAATTTAGACCTGAAGCCATTAGAAGGGACCAAACAAGATAAGCATCTGCACAAAACTGGAATATTTGAACTGTCAGGCTGAGGAACATGTTTTTATATAAGGAAGGAGCAGCCTAATGCAGAGTATCAGGCACTGCATGAAATGAGATAAGCCACATAAGAAGTATCCACATTACAGGATAACCTGTTTTGGAGTGTCAGAGTCCAGAAAGTTAAAAAGGGGTCCACACTATGGTATGAGGTTCTAGAACAAAGCCCAAGAAAAAATATAACCTAGGGTTAGGATTAGGATTAGGGCCCACTAAATGGAGGACAGCAACTCTGTAAGAGAGTAACTGATACAAGGTGTGAGATTCATTTGCGGAAAGTATTTTCATGTTGGAAAGAGTGGAAACAAGGAAATAATAACTGTACAGGGAAGGCTCAGACCCTAAGTGGAATGAGAAGGCATGTATGTGGGTGAGAGAATCATGAGAGGAATCCCTGGTCATGTACAGAGAGAATAATGAAATAACTATATTAAAACAATATGAGAGGGCTGGGGATTTAGCTCAGTGGCAAAGCGTCTGCCTGGCAAGCGCAAGGTCGTGAGTTCGGTTCCTGGTACCGGAAAAAAAAAAAAAAAAGCTTGGCATCTAGAAAAGTTCAGAAATAATTCCTAACTTGTCCGAAAATTAAAAAAAAAAAAAAAAACCAATATGAGAGGCAGGCATGGTGGCACACTCCTGGTATCCCAGGTCTTGGGATGATGAGGCAGGAAGATCAAGAGTTCAAGGCCAATCTGGACTATATCGTGAGTTCAAGATTAGCCTGAACTACATAGCAAGACTCTGTCTCAGAAGAAAAACAAACTAACAAAAAAACCAGAATATGAGAACCAAGTTCTCACTGTTAAAGAAGTTACTTATGAGAATACAAAGACAGAAAATTAAAATAAAGGCTGTTAATTCTGGATTTGTGTGTGTGACCTATTACATTCCCTAACTCTGTCCACTGAGAAGGCTCAGAAACAGCAACATCCTAATAACAAGGAGCACATCCAACCCCAGATGTGTCTCTATGTACTCTATTCCACAAAAATAAACCAGATCCCCTCGGAGAAAAAACTGATTCCAGGGCCAAGCCACTAAATGTTGCTAGAAAATAAGAAAGTATTCAAGTAGTCATGGGCACATATCAAACAGTTATAGAGCTACCTTGAAGGGTCTCCCAGTGGCCAAATCTGGGACAATTTCAGCACAGAAACAAAAAATAGTAACAATAATTATAACCCAATGAGTAAAACTAGAAACTCTAATTTGAATAAAATGAAAGTTAAATGAGCAATAGGATACCCAAAGTACCATAAAATACTTATTAAATGCAAAAGTAAAAGAATAACTTAGGGGATATAAGAATAACTTATAGGGGGATAAGCTTGGCAGACACTATCTTAATATGTGATAAAAGCAAACATCACCAGTAATGGGGGAAAGTCAAACTCATACACCACACATGACAGGATGCAATGAAAAAGATACAGCATCATTTCTGTGCTGTTTTCTCACAGATATAACCTAAAGTTACTCATAAAGAAATAATGGAAAAACTCAATTTGAAGGACATTCATTAAAATAAATGACCTACAATCTTCAAAAGTGTCAAGATCATGAAAGTCAAAGAAAGAGTGAAGATCTGTTTGTTCCCAAGCAAAAGGCAGTAAAAAGTGGTGACTAAAAAATTCAACCTGATTCAACTTTATTGAAACTGGCATACCCTGAACGTACTGTAGAAGTAAATGGTAATAGTGTATCAAAATTTAATTTCTTGCTAGACATGATGGCATATGCCAATGATCCCCAGCACTCAGGAGGGTGAGCCAGGTAGATTGCCATGAGTTTGAGGCCAGCCTGTGATACATAGTGAGTTCAACACCAGCCTGAACTACATATTGAGACTCTGTCTCAATAATAATAATAAT